GGGGACTGAATTTAAAAAAAGAAGAAAACAAAAAACAAAAGCAGTTATCAGGACAGGCACTGGTCTACATGGAACGTTGAGGAGCGTCTGATAATCCGACCCTCCTGTGCCCATGTAGATGCTTAGCCTAAAAGGCTACTGGAAATCTGCAGAGTAAATGTCTCAGGAATTATATCAGCCATAAGATGGGAAAGGGGCAGAGAGTCTTTCCAAAATGCCACCTCCCCTGACCTACCTAATAGGAGCACTAAGGAAAGTTGATGATATTGGATATCTGAGGGTGCTATGAATTTTTTAAAGCGACTTATTTGCTGTTGCTGTTACTTCCCTCCTTTGTGTATTTGGTCTGAATATGTTTTTCACACGCTTTGGACACAAACAAGTTTTTAACTCTATTCAATTATCAAAATGTATATGGGACACTACAAATTGCCCAGCATTGTGTAGAGCTGGGGAAGCCATTTCTACGTCAACTGGTTCAATGAGACAATGGTTGCACATGCAAAATTTGAGAATTTTTTTTTTTTTTTAAGATGGGAGTCTTGCTCTTGTTGCCCAGGCTGGAGTACAATGCTGTGATTTTGGCTCACTGCAACGTCTAGCTCCTGGGTTCAAGTGATTCTCCTGCCTCCGTCTCCCGAGTAGCTGGGATTACAGGTATCCACTATCACACCCAGCTAATTTTTGTATGTTTAGTAGAGACGGGGTTTCACCATGTTGGCCAGGCTGGTCTCAGACTCCTGACCTCAGCTGATCCACCCGCCTCAGCCTCCCAGAGTGCTGAGATTATAGGCATGAGGCACTGTACTCGGCCTAGAATATTCTTTCAAAATGGAATTTTTGATCTTCTGTTAGAGCTTTCTTTTTTCTTTTTGAACATAAGATAATTTCCTAAGCTTCTGTTAAAGAGCTTTCAAATATGCTATAGACCAGAAATTCCAAATTTTATTAATTCACAGTTAGATTGTGTAATCATATTTTACATTAAGCTTTTTGATGCAGCATTTCTACAGTATCTCTCTGTAAAACATATATACATATATAAGCACATATATGTGTGTATATATACATATACATATATATATGATTTTTTAAAACAAAAAACGTTGAGAAAAAGGGTAGGCATGATGGCTCATATCTGTAATCCCAGCAGTTTGGTAGGACAAGGCAGGAGGATCACTTGAGGCCAGGAATTTAATACATACCAGCCTAGGTAAGTGAGACTAGGTCTCTTAAAACAAAACCAAACCCATGCACAACAGAAAGTTCCAGATCATAACTCTAGGACAAAGTTTAAATTAAAATAAAGACATACAGACACATAAATTAGCAAAAAAGTTGAAGTAGTTTCTTTTGTTGTAATCCCCTTCGTGGTGATACAACCGAGCGCAGTGGCTCACGCCTGTAATCCCAGCATTTTGGGAGGCCAAAGCAGGTGGATCACTTGAGGCCAGGAGTTCGAGACCAGCCTGGCCAACATGGTAAAAACCCATCTCTACTAAAAATAAAAAAGTTAGTTGGGTGTGGTGGTGCATGCCTGCAATCCCAGCTACGTGGGAGGCTGAGGTAAGAGAATTCCTTGAACCTGGGAAGGAGAGATTGCAGTGAGCCAA